TCTGAGTATCACATGTTCTCACTCATATAGTGGACCTTGAACATCTATCGTAATACTATAAGGAAAGGATTGACAGTGGTGGGAAACTATGGGGAGGGAAGGGAGGGGAAGGGAGGTGGGATTAACGGTAGTCAATATCTGTCTGGGGATGGGGAGACACCCCTTATCAACAAGGGTGCCTGAACAATGCATATTTGTATATTTAACCCTTAACTGTACCCCACAATTTTAAAATAAAAAATATTGGTTTTAAAAAAAAAAGTGATGTACCAATCTTAAGGCACTTGCAAAACAATCTCAATGAGTATGTTTTTCTAGGGTTTCTTTTAGTCTTTTATAATTGCCTCACCCATACCTAATTTGACTGAATTTTCTTAAGTGATTCACCTTTATCAAGAGTTTCCAAAATCTTCAACTTAGTTTTCAAGGAAACAGCAGCCATCTTTCCTTTTGCTTTCATATTTCATCAGTTTATGTAATATTTAATTAAATTATGTATGACAGTAATGAGTGCTCTGAGCTGGCAGTGCATGGCTTTTTGAGGGTAGCAGGTCTGTATAGGAACACTAGAGAATAGAATGCTACCTTCATATTATTTGTTTAACAGACAAAAGGGTTAATTTGTCAAGCCCTTAACTTAATAGTCAAGGTCTATGAAGAGCGCTACCTCATAAGGGAAATATGGTAAGCAATGGATAGGTCCCAGAGGACTCCATTTCCTAGGACTGCTCTTATGAACTGCTACAAACTTGGTGCCTTAAAACAACAGAAATTTATTCTTTTACAGTTTTAGAGGCTTTAAGTCTGAAATCAAGATATCAGCAGGGCTCTAGGGGAGAATCCTTTCTTGGCTATTTCTAGTGTCTGGTGGTTGCCAGCAATCCTTGGTGTTTCTTGGCTCATAGATGTATCACTCTTTCTGCCTCCGTAGTCACTTGGCGTTCTCCCTGTGCATCTGTCTTTGTGTCCAAATTTCCCTTTTCTAGTAAGGACACCAGTCATTTTTTATTTAGAGCCCACCCTAATGTCCTCATCTTAACTTGATTACATCTGCAAAGACCCTATATCCAAATCTGATCACATTCATAGGTTCTGAGTATTCAACCCAGCATAGTTCCTAAGCAGTATCTTTATTTAACAAACATGAATTTTGGCATGCTGTAATATGCAGTGACTATATTTGAATGTCTTTTCTGGTCCTAATAAGTTCTTACTAAATATGATCAAAACCATCAAGCACTCTAGGAAATACGTTGCATAGTTCTAACACA